CTAGCTTTACATCCCTACAGGACATAAGTCTACCTTAGTTTCTTCGGTATAAATTTTAATACTAAACCATGCATGACAGCAATTTAGTATTAGCAATTTCAGTATAAAACATAAAACTTTGCGATACAAAGGCTGCATCAACAGTAATCCTTCTTTCTTTCATGATGTGAACTATCACTGCATCTGGATATGTCAATTTATACAAAGACAACGCCACTTTATAATACCTAGTTTATTTCCCTCACATCTTCTTATGTAACCTTGAAATAAGAATATTGATCTTGTTATCTTATAATACAGAGGTGTGTCACTCACATTTTATGTTGAACAGTTGCTATTTTACTCATCCCTTTTCTCAAAGCCTACATATATGCCTCTCTAGATCCTCTGTAAGGCAGCTAGATCTAGGTAAATTTGGTGGAAATCAGGCAAAGAAATAATTGCTTTCACACAAATTATCATGGAATCATCAACAACCAACATCTTCCCAGAAATCTATCAGAAGAATTACATACGGCCCCATAACGACAAAGCCTGAATTGCTATTTTAAGCATTTTAATCTGTACTTCCAATAAGCTTTGGTAACATTGTTCAAAGTTATTCCTACCAGGAAAAAAACCTTTTGCCTTTTTCAGTAGCCTTAGATATTAGCATACAGGGTAGTTATTGGATTACCTGTGAATCAGCCACTCAAGGCACTTTTGGGCTGGTTTAAGCATGAAGTAAGGCGACAGGTGAATTAGGAATAATGAAATATTCTGATTCAGCTGCTGATTTACTGCTTTAGTTTGAACACTGCGCTCGAGGCCTTTGGACATGGAACTGAACAAACTGGATTGGAACACTTCAAAGGAAGGATCGATTCCCATCAGCTCTTCTAAGCCGGTGCATCCTGTGGAAAGGACGGAAGAACGCTTTAAACGAAATCGTTTTAACTACGAGTCCTACCTGTCTACCTCCTCAACAACATACCCAACCTCTGTGCTATACTGGTGTATGTCATCCTTACTGAGCAAATCAAACCAAACAGTAAACAGATCTAACGCCAAAACTCTTGATACATTTAAAACATTTGTTAACTGATGAGGATGAAGGATATTAACAAGTATTAGCAGTGTGCTCTTGGAGCAGCGAAGGCCAACAGCACTTTGGGTTGTACTGGCAAGAGCGTAAGCCAGCAGGTCAAGGGAAATGATCCTTCTCCTCTATGTTGCACTTGTGAGACTGGATCGGGAGTACTGTGTACAGTTTTGAGCTCCCCAAGAAAAACACTGACATACTGGAGTGAACTAGTAAAGGACCACCAAGATGAACAGGGGACTGGAAAAATGACAGACCAGAAAGTTGGAGAAAATTGCGTTTGTTCGGCCTCGAGAAGAGACGGACAAGGGGAAATCTTATTGCTGTCTACAACTGTCTAATGGGATGGTGTAGGTTATAGAGAAGATGGAGCCAGACTCTTCTCAGAGGTGCACACTGGAAAGATGAGAGGCAGCGGATACAACCTGGAACACGGGAAATATTAGGTCAATATAAGAAAAAGATCAACCTGAGCTAACTGGCCCTGCGGTGAGTGGGGGTTGGACCAAATGACCTGCAAAGGTCCCTTCCAGACTTCTATGATTCCATACTGGGAAGCAGGCAAGGATCCTTTTCTGAACAAGTTAAAATACAAAACTCTGCACAATACACACATGAAAAAGTATACTCCACAGCAGAATCATAGGAATTATTTCATTATTTTACAGAAAGCTGGTCAATATTAATGGCTAAGTACAAAGCAGACAACTACAGAAACGAGGCAGCTGGGTGAAACATGGAAGAAATATATGATTATATGCAGGGTGTTCCATAATGACTATTTAAGAAATACATAACTGAGAGAAATACCTGTCTTAAAAAGTGATACATGTCTACAGTCTTGTTACTTAAGACAGACCTATGCTATCAAATGCAGCCCAGACTTTCTGTCAATTTCTGTGGCTTTAAAAAATGGCTTGCCTATTTAAGAAATTTCATATTCCTAGTTAAAGATCCACACAGGAAAAGAGAAGCGATAAGCACAAACATCTTTAAGCATGCAAACAGAGTAATGGCTTTTTCCATTTTCCTTACATTGTAACTATAAGGTTACCAAAGCGCAGGATATCAGGATGTTTTCATGAAATCACAGAATAATGCAGGTTGGAAGGAACCCCAGGAGGTCTCTACTCCAACTCCCTGCTTCAAGCACAGTCTGCTCTGAGGTCAGACCAGATTGTTCAGGGCTTTAACAAGTTAGGTTTTGAAAACCTCCAAGGATAGAGACTGCACAACCTCACTGGACAACCTGTTCCGCTGCTTGACTGACCTCAGGGTGATGTCCTTATATCCAGGCTGAACCTCTCTTGTTCCAACTTATACCTATGGTACCTTGTCCTCCTGCTATGCACCACTGTGAGAAGCCTGGCTCCATTTGCTTGATAATCTCCTTGTAGGTATTATCAGGCTGCTATCAGGCTCCCCCAAAAAGTTTTCTCTTCTCCAGGCTGAACAAGCCCAGACCCCTCAGCCTCTCTTCACAGGGCAAGTTCTCCAGCTCCTGAACACCTTGGAGCCCCTGCGCTGAACTCACTCCAGGTTAGTCAATGCCTTTCTTATATTGGGGGGCCCTAAACTGGACCCAGTTTTCCAGATGCGATCTGACAAGTACTGAATAAGGGCCATATCACTCCCCTCAATCTACCTGCTATGTTGATATTAATACAGCCCCTATTAATATAGCCCTGTTGGCCCTCTTTGTTGTCAGAGCACACTGCTGGCTCATGCTCAGCTTGCTGCCCACCGGAATCCCCCCAGGTCCCTTTGAGCAGAACTGCTCCCCAGCCAGTCAGCTCCCACTCTGTGTCACTGCATGGGGCTCTTCCTTCCCAGGTGCAGGACTTAGCACTTGTCTCTATCGAATTTCATACGGTTTCTATTGGCGCAGCCTGTCCAGGTGTCTCTAAATTGCAGCTCTGGGCCAGAGCGTATCAATTAGCCCACCCTAATTTGGTGTAATCTGCAAACTTGACAAGAGCACACTCATACCACCTCCTTCAGATCTGATAAAGATGTTAAATAGGACAGGCCCCAGAACAGACCCCTGCAGTGCTCCACTTGTTACCAGCCTCCAGGCAGAGTACAACCTACTAAGCGCTACCTCCTGAGCCTGATCATCCAACTACTTATTTTATTAGTCTCATTGTACACCCATCTAGATTGGAACATCCTAACTTGGATACAAAAATATTACATGAAATAGCATTAAAAGTCTTACTAAAATTAAGATAAAGGACACGCACTGCTCTTACCCACAAATCCCGTTATTTTATCATAGAAAGCAACCACATCATGCAGACATGATTCACCCTTAGTAAATCCCTGCTGAATGCTATCAGTTACCTTCTCCTTCATATGCTAGAAACATGATCCAAGAGAACTCACTCCACAGTTTTCCCAGTGACTGAACTGAGGTTGACGAGCCAGCACCTGCCTGATTTACCTTTTTGGCCTTTTTTGAAGATGGGCTGCCTTCGCCATTTAGGCTTCTCTAGCTGTTGTTGGAATAGATAAATGACTCCTAAGTCATGAACATCTAAAGAGCCAAACTCACCAATGGCAAAAAAGGTGTCCCTGTCAATAGTAGCAGCTTCCTTACAATCAAACAGCAGCGATGCTGCTTCAGCGCGGGATAAGAGGCTGGGATCATTCTGGGGAAGAGCGAGCCGCTTCAACTGCTCCGCGAGGGACGTCATAGCTTCGCGTTTCTGGGAAAGAAACCTAAAGAAAAGAAAACAAAACAGAACAGGACCGCAGATAAAGCGACTCTTGAACAACCCCTATTTACTGTCCCTGAAAAAGCCGCTGCCACCGTTTAAAGCCTGCCCCAAGCACCACCAGCTCCCCGCACACCCGG